CTCATAATTATGGTTAAACAACTATTGTCTTGGGTGATTCTAATGCAGTTGGTACCCTATGGGTGTCTGAGACAGGGCTATTTGGGGTCACTGACACTGTTCCTTCCCACAAATGATGAGAAAATCTAAGGTTTTACTTCAAGAGCAACAACTAAACTACTAGGTATATATAACCTCTATAGTGCTGTAATGCTGTTGATTCCTGTATATTAAATATATTTATGTTTTTCAAGTATATCAAGTCTTCTAAAATATAAAATTTAGATAAACATGGTAACAAAAAGTTAGCGGTACTGATATACTGTTCTTTTAGCTGCTAAATTGTCCATCAAAATTTTAACCATGGTTCTTTTAAGTTTTTGTCATTAGAGTTCTGATCCTTCTGGGGAATTTACAATAAAGTCCATAAAAATGACTCTAATGAGTACTTATGTGTCAGTCAGGTTAGCTTTCTGGGTGTCTGCTTTTGTTGGATTTTATTATGTATTGTCCTTTTCTAGAAGCCCACTGCCTAAGAGCCACTCCTTCTAAGCCTCTTTGTTGATAAATTTGGCCAAAAAGGTCTATTTGGCACTGACTCCCAACTGATCTGCTTGTTATTCCTCCCACCCCCACCCCTGACATGGGGCCAAAACCATAAAAACAACCAAAAATCTAGGAAAAAATAATTCTTCATGATGAGAAAAAAATAATGAATCTAGAAAGATCTTCATACCACCCTGGACACACCCAACCTCATCTGGGTCTCAGAAGCTAAGCAGGGTCAGGCCTGGTTAGTACTTGGATGGGAGACAGATCTTCAGAGGAGACTGCTCAGAGACAAGCAGTTTGGAGACAAGGGGGGAATCCTGTCAAAGTTCAAATGGAGTCACTGGTGCCAGACCTCTCAAAAATAACCAAGGCTGAGAGGATTGAGGAAATGGTTCTTAAGCATGTGTGGCTATCTGGCATTAAAGCCCTTCCAGGCACAAACTCATATTTTTTAGACAGGGTCTTCTACTTAAATAGAGACAAAATGACTATTTTTTTTTTTGGCTCTAGACAATGTCCTTTGATACTTAAAGAGGGAGTTTTTAACTTTTTTAAGCAATGCATTTTTCTTGGCCATATATACTGATAATATATTGTTGCCACGGTAATTCTACTCAATAAAAAAAAAATAGGGAATACTGTCTAGGTAAAAGAATAAAATGTCCAATCATTAAAACCCCATTGGAGGAGCCCTTTTGTTATTATTTTGTTTACCCCCACTGTAGTTAAGGTAGTAGAAATTGCTCCTGGGTTCTACCACAGCAGAGTAAAACCAGCCTCTCTTGAGTGGGAGTGCATCCCTGACCCAGCCTCACCATGCAAGATCACCCTCTGGAATGCCTGCACACTGGTCAAGGACTCTGCTTCCTGGGAAACAATAGGGGATCATGAACAATCCAATGACAGTCCTGCTCTAGTCACTCTGGAAGCTGACTAGTCTGTGCACGGCAGAAGCTCAAACATGGGATGCACCCCTGCTCTCCTCTACACACTTGAACTCTTAGCTTTTGGGTTGGTCCTTGCAATGTTCCCCCAATGTACTGAATGTTATAAGAGAGCCTTTGTTGGGACCTCCACACAGCCATACTTTGTATCATACACCCAATAACAGCTCACATGTTACATCAGGACCTAGCTCAGGAATAACTTGTTAGAGAGACAGCACACTGAGTGTACTCTCACCCAGACCAGGGCCAACTGCCAATCAAGGAACTGGGCCACTATATAATAAAATCAAAAGCAAATTAGGCAGAGGATTAGACCTCCCAACAACAGGAAAATATCTTTTTGTAGACCTGGTGGAAAGGATTGCCAAAGAACTGAATGTCTCAAACTGCTGGGAGTGTAGAGGTGCCCTCATGAGTGAGAAATGGACTTGAAAGGGGACCAGTTTAAATCCTTACCAACTTTTATTTTGGAATCAATCTATAACTAGACAAGAGAGCAACCGACCTCATACCTGGGCTCTCACCTCAGGGGTAATTGGGGAAGAATGTATCAAAAGGATCAGGCCAGAATATGAAAAGTGGGTGGGGGGACCCCTTGTAAAAGGGTACTCTCTTGGAATGGGACTAATCTAACCTGGTGGCCCGATGAGCCTAAATGGTATTGGACGTTGCCCCCATCAGAAAACAGTCCCCAATGTCATGATTCTCCACCCAATGACAGCCTCTTAAGCTATTTTACTACTGGCGAGATGAACCCATTCCAAGGTGTCCCTGAGATTGACAAATATTCGAACAACCTCACCAATACTGACCCGGGGTGGTGGAGGGCACCGGATGGGTTATTTTGGATATGTGGGAAGTGAGCTTATACCGAACTCCCTGGGACTTGGAGGGGAAGCTGTACTATAGGAGTTATCCAGATGTAGTTCTTCTTCTTCTTACCCAACCACCAAGGGGAACAGTTGCGTGTTCCCCTTTTGAAACTCTGGGGCCTAGATAAAAAGGGACCTTGATGTGGGGGTCAACAGAGATGAGGAGAAGACTAATGGCCTCCCCAAAGGATTATTGAGACCTATGGACCAGCCACCTGGGCACAAGATGGGAGCTGGGGTTACTGGACTCCTGTCTATATGCTCAACAGAATCATTAGGCTACAGGCAGTCATGAAAATTATTACCAATCAGACTACCTCTGCCCTAGAGCTACTGGCCAAGCAACAGACCCAAATGTGAGCCTCTGTATGTCAAAATTGCCTGGCCTTGGATTATCTTCTAGCTGAGGAGAGGGTAGTATGTGTCAAGTTCAACCGATCAGACTGTCACCTCCACAGAGATGACAATGGTCAAGCAGTTATGGAAATTGCCACTAATATTAGAAAGATGGCACATGTACCCATACAGGTGTGAAAAGGATGGGACCGAGTTTGTTCTGCGGGTGGTCCTTTGCCTGGGCAGATTCAAAACCCTGATGGGGCAATGGTTCTTGTCTTGGGAGCATGTTTGATGTTACCCTGCCTGGTTCCCTTGGTATTGAGGTCCATCAGGACCATTTTGGAGACCCCTGTAGAGAAAAAAACAGCTGTCCATGTAATAATGCTATGGAAATATAAACCCCTAAATCAAGATGATGCTCTTTGACCCCAGGTGGATCCAAGCATCGAAGGGAGGATAATGTAGCAGGGAGGAGGGGACAGCATAGCAGGAAACTTAAAGAAGCTGAACATGAAAAAGGTCACATAGCACTGAGGGTAAAGTAGCTAATAAAATTGTATATAACCATATATGGATTAAATTTTTTCTTGCTTCTGTAACCTGCCTAGATGGTATATAAGGCAAGACCCCTTTGTTCTCAGGGCTCAGACTTTGGATGTGAATCTGCTGAGCTGCTGCCAGCACACTAATAAATATTGCTTCCTGAAAAGCCTTGGTGTCCCCTTTCCCTGCTTGAATATCCCACGACCTTTCCTGCCATCTTAGTGAGGAAACTGAAGGGCAAGAGCGCACATATCTTTTCTAATGTCACATCATTGATAATAATTAGTAAGGGAAAACTGAATATATGGAAATACATGAATAAACACATCTATCATGTGTTTAGTATGTAGCAGGGCCTGGATATAGTGGGGAGAGGAGGAAGATGAAGTTATAGCTGTAGGCAAAGGCAGGTATGGTAAGCATGCTATAAATCTTAGACTTTGCTCTAAAAGTGTTCCAGAGCCAGAGAGAAGCTTCCAACAATGTGAATCAATGGTCAGATTTGAATCTTAGTGTTGATGATGCTAAAGGAAGCAAGATTCTGGCTGCCTGACCATGGCCCTTTCTATGACAAACTGATCTCACCCTCTGAGAAAAGAAAACTACCTTCACTGAATAATTGGGATGTTTCATTATTGTCTTTTCTAAAATATAGTGTGGAAGTTCTCCATGTAAACAGTCAAGATTCATTATGTACAGTGGATCTGTATCCTCGGTTTTCTAGAAAAATTCAGAGGTTAATTATTCCATCAAGGTGACATTAACATTTAAAAATTTCAGGAATGTTAAATCCAAATTACATGATTCAGAATGGACTCAGAAACAGCAATCTTTTGTCAGAATATGAGATCTGACCTTGCTCAACAAAATTTAGTCAATTTAAGAAATTCCTTTAAAAGGAAAGCTGAAGGCCAGTGATGAAAAAATAAAAATATGGATAAACTGGAGCCAAGACTTGTTGTAAATTTATTTTTTTTCTTTAATTTACCAATAACATGTTCTATTCAGTATTTTCAACTAAATGGTCCTATGTTACATTTCATAGTGGCATCTGCATTTACATTGTTCAGCTCAGAACTAAACATACGTAAATTCTCAAAGATCTCGCAGACTAAACAAGGAAATAATAAGAATGGCTCATTAACAAACAGTATATATTAGCCATTTTAAAAAACAAACCATCAGGCAGGGAATAAAGTGATAAAGCTAATGAATAAACTTTAAAGATTACCTAGGTCCCCCAAAGCCTATTTTTTTTTCTGATTACATTTTTTTATTCAGATAGAGAAATTGACTTTTGTGATTTTCAGGCAGTAATCAGCAGACAAATTTCTTACCTCCCAAGCCAGGACTCTCAACTATACCTTTTATACCTTTTGGTACAAAAGGCAATTCACCAATTTTGATACAACTTTTTAGTATCCATAAATGTAACATAGATATCAAGTAGATGTTTGGGACTTAATGTATACTCAGAAAATGTGATTTATTTGAGTTGGTGATGGGGTTCAAGTGATAGAGTGTCTGGCTCAAAAGCACAAGACCCTGAGTTCAAACCTCAATACTATCATATATATATGTATATATATAATTTCTTCTAATCAGAAAGAGAAGGGAACTTTTTCTTCTTGTGTTAAAATTTGTAAACCAAAATCCCAGCCTATAACCTTCAAATAACCTACAAAAAACACTTTCATGATCAAACACACTTCTAGCAGTGGTATGGAAGAGTCAGTCTATGACCAGCCAGGCAAATATGAGTACTCACAAACACAGCACCCCAGAATGGATAGCCTGTGTAGAAGATGAAGATGAAGAAGTGCCTGAAGAGGTGGGACAGGTATTGTAAGGAACCCATAAAAACACCCAGAGCCAGTATCATTGCTCCATTCAGGATCTGGATGGCCTGTAAGAAGAAGAAAAGTAAAGGCATAATGCCATTTTAATTTTCCTCAAAAAGGAGATATCATTGCTTTAAATGGTTAAAATGTCAAGCCTACATTAACTGAGCAACAGCTTATCTTCTAGAGGGCTTCACTCTTTTCCCACCAATATCAGAAGCAATCCTTCATCTTCATCTCTCCTCCTCCTACTACTAATTAATACAAACTCCTCAAATAAAGCAGCAGAAATATAAAGAAAATGTGTTAGTCAGATAAAGTTCACATATCTTCCCTGCATGCTCTGGGGCCGTAATTAAGGAAGGCAAACAGATGTTCAGCAGTCTACTTAGACGTTTTCTGAAGCCTAAGCTTCAATTTAAAAGACAGGATATGAACTTTATAGAGCTCAGCCTCCTAAAATGGGTGTTCAGAGGCACAAAGAAAGAATGAAGGGCCATATAGTCCACAGTCTAAGGTTTAATAGGGTGTTTTCTGCCATAGAGAATACCTTTCCATTTCTACTCCTCAGATCGATAATATATCCCTGTCTTTTCTTCAGTACATCATAGTCTTAGTGATAAATAACTCAGATATTCCTCCTCTGAGCATACACAAGAGTTCCCATTCAATTTTTTTCCTTCCCTCTTAAACAACTTTGTAAAGGAGACTGACTTACCCCAAGGGCTTGTAATATTCCTTTTTGATAATCTTGTGATACATCCATAGGCTGGTAAACAGAACTCTTTCTCCCCTCTGGTTTCACCTGACTGCCCTGGATACCAACTGCTGAGATCCCCAGCCCAGCAGTATCAGCTTCTTGGGAGGCCATTTGGGGTTGTTTATGACTGTCATGGAAAAGAAATCCAAAGGCTTAATGTTTTCCCTTTTATCACTATCTAGTAATCCCTCCAGGAATAATAGAGAGGCTCAATTTTGTCCACACTTCAAAATGACTCTCCACAAATGGGTATAAAGCAGCACGATCGAGTTTGTGCAATGTTCATTCTATTCTGTCCTCAGAACCATTCTCCCTTTCCCCAGAGTTTCACCTAGATAATTTCTGCTCTTCCACAACACTGAATCTTTGTCCTATATCATACTTCCAGGTGCCTTTTTTAGTCTTGGCAAAGTCTGAATGATTAACCCCTTCTGTTTATTCTCAGAATTCCTTCAAACTTCCTTTCTCTTATCTTCAACCAGTCTGAGTTTCAATTTCCAGAGTGTTCACCTGTATCTCACTGTATTCTCAGCGCTGTTACTCCAGTGCTTCACTCAGTGTCTGTCACGTGGTTGGCACTCAGATAATACATATTTCACAAATTAAACAACACTTTAAGCTCAGCCTCAGGTAACCATAACTTATGGATGATCATGGAAAATATGTTCACAAACAGTGGATCCTCTCATATTAAGAAACCACAGAGCAGCTCTGAAGGGAGGAAATCTATTCTAGTCATATCATTAATCTTAAAAAAAAATCAGGATAATTTTCAGCCTTCAGGAAAAAGAAGCTATGTTGTGTAAAATTTGGTCAATTTAGCTTTAAAAAATCAGAAAAATATAGGTTTTCCTAAGATCTTACCAAGTAAGTTCACCTATGTACCTCTGGTATAGCAGAAGATCTTCTGTCTTTACTCATATTGACTAATTTAGTTCTCACAGCATCCATTGGCATGGGAATTGTCATTATCACCTGTTCCATTTTACAGGTGAGGAAGATGGGAAACAGAGATTAAGTAACTTTCCCAACACCACCAGCCTGCAATTTGAGGAGCTAGGGACCAGAACCTAGTAATCTGCCTCTTACCATTATAATATACTCTCCTTCCAAGATTATGCTTAAATTCACCAAATTCCATGCCTATCTCTGGAATATCTAGACCCTCCCTCATTGTCACAGCCGGCAGCCTAACTCAGGTACAGCCATTTGGACTTAATATGTCTAAGGTATGTGTGTGTCTACATGAGCACCCATGTGTCCATGCCTACCTACATTTTTTCAAATAAATAGCTGTATTATTATGTCTAACATTTTATAACAGCACCAGAATAACATTCATATTCTAAAGGGAGCTAGCCTCATACCTAAATCTCTACACAGCAACCAAACAGAAAACTTTGAAACATTCCAAGTGGGCCATTGGAAGGCACTTTTAACAGACCACAAAGAAAGCTAAATTCCCATGGAGAGGGAACCTGTCGGGTTTACCTTGGGGGCTTTAGGCTTTGAAAGACTTCTTTCCTCCAGTGTCCACCTTGTCACAGAGTAGGAAACACTCAGTAATGATCCACCACAGGTCCGTTCAAGAAAACGGCAGCCTCTTCCTCCTTAGGCTTAACAAATCTCTCACTTATGAAATCCTTTATTGGAGCCAGTGGAAATGTTTTGCTGGCTGCCTGGAAGGTGTGCTAATTGCATTTGCACTTGAAGCCTCCGACCATCAGCTTCCCCAAGGCTTCATGATAAGTAGGAAGCTGGTGTCAGGAGTAACTGCCTCCAGCTGAGATGTTGCTTAACACATTGTTGGAACAAAAAATACAAGCAGAAAATATGGGTAGGTTAGTGGGGAGGTGTTGTGGAATGGAGGAAGAACAGGGTTAGCTGTGTAGTAAGAAAAGATGAAGCCAGTCAGGAAGAGTAGGGTTGAGAGGAGGGACTGTGGACACTAAGACATTTACACAATGTGCCAGCAATGGCACCAAGTACCCTGCATGGGTGATCATGTTCAATTCTCAGAGGCTTAAAGAGGTTTGTTCCTTTTTCCAATGTCATAGATTGTAGTTTAAATACACTAAATGATTGCTATGTACAACTCACTGTTCCAAATACTTTACATGTATTAACTCCTTCCATCCTTTTGGTTCAAGCTGGTCCCTTGAGCTTCCACATGGACCCACAGCACCTGGAAACCTGCCACGTTTCTACTGGCTCCTCCACCAGGTAGGATTCAGTGGGGCCATTTGGTTTTAACACATCAACACCTTTAAGACTGCCCTGCAGCTTGATTAGCCAACACTGGTAGTGAGGGACATTCTTCAGACAACAGAGTCCTCACTTATCAGAATCCCAGTTACTGGGGAGTATTGCACTCACTGGCTGTCAGAATTTCCATCAATTGCGATAGAAGGCATTGTGGAGAAAGCTGCTCATTTCATGGTAGCCAGGAAGCAGAGGGGAGGTGCTGGGGCCAAAATATGTCCTTCAAAGTCATACCTCTGGTGATTTACTTCCTCCTACTAGGCCCCACCTCTGAAAATAGCTCATTGAACTATGAATTCAATTAGTTAATCCATAGATGAGGTTACAGCCCTTAAAATTCAATCACCTGTCAATGACCCCACTTATGAACCCTGGTTCCTGGGGACAAAGCCTTCACCACATGAGCCTCTGGGGAAGTTTCCAGCTCCAAACCTCACAATCAATCATTTCCTTTGCCCTTAGCAATCATTCCTCTACTCCATATCTTTCCAAAAACATTGGGATAAAATAATTTACTTCCAGATTCAGGAAGCAGTCTCTATCCATTGCTAAGTTTTAATCAACCTTTCTTAATTACATTGTATCTCAGATATCTAAGTAGAAATTTATACCAACTGTTTTTTTTTTATTAAAACACATAGTTTTCAAAAAAAATTCATGACACTAACACTAAATTTCCATTTCTGTTTTAAGGAAAAGTCAGTTGCACTAGAATTTAACAGTCCTAACTCTTTTGGTTTTGTCTCAAAGCCAGAAATAAAGGACTGGAATCCAAATTTATCATCAGTAGAAACTGATATAAGCCACACTGATTTCCTGAAGAAAAGAAAAACGAAGGCAAATCATTTGGGAAGACTTGGTACCAGGTCTGTCTGAGTCTAGATGTGTGGCCAAGTTATTTTTACCATTCTTTTTTTTCTTTTTTATTCATTTATTCACGTGTGGATACATTGTTTGGGTCATTTTTTCCCCTTCCCCCCGCCCCCATTTATCATTCCTTAATACCATCATTTTCAATATGATGATTTGATACTTCAACATAGCACTTGCATAGCAGTACCTTCTGGTAATGGTGGGTTTTTGGAATAGGATTTGGGCAGATATACTTATAGACAAGCTAATTCATGGCTTCTGGATCAAACACTGAGTAGAAAGATCAATGGTCTTAGATGGTTTGTAATGCTCATGTTTAGAAGACCAGTATCTAGTATTAAAAAAAAAATAGTCAAATGGATCCTATCAACAGACAATAAAAGCCACCAAGAGTTTAACTGACTCAGAGTATGGGTAGCAAAAGTCTAAGTGTGAAAGTAAGTGAATGAGTGTGTGTTTGTGTCCAATCTTAAAATTTATGCACCATAACCTAATCACATATCTTTGTCTTACTAGGCTTCATTTTTTAAATAAGAAACATAAGCTGCAAACAACCTGGTTATTATTGTCAAAATAGGAATGCATATTCATTATGTTAGGGTCCAAGAATCCTATTCCTCCGAGAGACAGAGTCACGCGTGAATGCAATCAACAAAGCAGAGTTTATTGAGCTGGCAAGCCAGGGTCAAGCTCCCACACAGACACACAGGTCCGATTGGGCAGACAAGACCCCGAGCCTCTTTAGGGAAGATCTTATATAGGCCCCTACCGGCCGTTACAGCAAAAGCCCGCACAGTACATAGCCAATGAGTTTGTAACACCACATACATTTCCAGCCTATCCATTTAAGAGTACATTACTTCTTAGCCTATAGATTCAAGGGTCAGTATTCACACACACGGTTACATTTAGCAAGCAGGCAGGGCACATCTTGCACGTACTTCTAGTTGTCTTTCGCAATCTGCTCACATTCCTCACATTCCTCACATTCCACCTGCCCCTGTGCTGGCTTTACTGGTTTCTGCTATGGGGATCTGCTGGGGCAAAGGGCACATCCTTTCATTCCCCCCTTTTCTTTGGGCTATATTGAGGAATCATTCTCAAGGGGATGAAGAGCCTGGTATTGTTGGCGGAGGACCAGAAGTTGAACAGTGTTAATTCGGTTTTTGATGAAAGTCACAAGTTGGTTTAGAATACAAGGTCCTATTGTTAGAGTAGAGACTGGTTGTCGCACACACCACAAGGTAAAAAGGGCTCCTGGATGATTTGTTTTGTAGAGTCTGACTCCCCAGGATTTACCCAATTCCCAATTTGTTGACTTTTTTCCTAAATCAGTGAAATTTATCATAATGGGATTACAATTGGGGGGAGTTGGGCATCCCTTATTTATAGGTCTAGGTTGGTGATATGTAATACCAGATTGAGAGACTCTACTTAACTGAATAAGGTCCCCCTGTTTGGGGGGTGGCCACCATATGTCCCCTGAGCTCTCACAACCCCATGACTTACAATAATAGTCTGCGATTCCTCCACATTTTTTTTTGTGGTTGGGTTGGGGAGCGGGGCAGACATAGAAGTAACTTTGGCGCAAATCCCATTGTCCCCTGCCAGTGAATAAGGCCCTTAAGTCAAAGTATAATTCTGGGAACCAGGTGCTGGGAGGGGTCACCTTGGAGGTCTGGTTAAGAATGTCTCCTGTGGATACATCTACAATCATCCAGGTCAGGTTAAAAGGTTGATGTGGATTTGTATGCCCCAAGCAAGTGGTGGACAGGGTTAGAAAAAGGAATAAGGTTACCGAGGTCCAGTTTGCTGAAGTTTGAGTTTGAAGGAATTGTCCTTGTGGTGGGACACCCTTCTTGTTGGCAGGAAGTCTTCCTTCACAGCTACCGGGTCTGCCAGTCTGATGTGGGTGTAGTGGACCCAGGTGATGATCCCATTCTAGGAGGGCTGCAGAGCATCTGGGGTGTTTTTGT